AAAGATTCATCACTTCTATTTTGAGAAGAAAGACCAAAAATAACTGCCAAGAGATGGCATGTTGACGTTTGAGTTACTATTGACCTGTAAAGTTCTATAAATCACTTGACGCGAATGTTCGTAGTCTTGTAGGGTGTAGCTACTTGCTAATAATGCCTGAAAAAGAAGTACAGTAATTATTTACCAGGACCAACAAAACAATGAATTTTCTTTAGGCAATGTGTAACCTGAAGATAAAATCTGGCAATGTAACTCAATTAAAAATCTTGTCAACGTCAGACAAGATTTTACATAGAATAAATAGGCATAAAACATTCTTTTCTTATGGGAATATTTACAATAATCATTCAACAACAAATATTCTGCCTCTAATGATCAATTCATCACCATGGGAGCATAACAAATGATTCACCGACCCAAGACAAAAACAAATCTATCTACATTACTTAAATAAGAGGAAGTTGTGATCTCCAGATAGGGATCCTTTGTTGGATTCGGTAAGAGCTCAAAGAGGTTAATCCGAGGGGTTGACCCTTCGTGAGGGGCGTGGAAATACATAAAAACTCTGGAACCTCGAAGTTTCACAACAAAAATTATTCAGATGGATAGTTCAGTCCTCTGGGATTAGTCGGTGCATGTACAATAGCTTGAACGCTGATAGTTAAGAAAAATGAAAATTATTACGTATTTACTGTCTAGCTCTTTAATAATTCTAAAATCAAGTTTCCAAAACAAGAAGAGACCAATGGCAGAATGCAAAACCAAGAAACTATCTCTGCAGAAGATCATGGGTGGAGCTTTGTAATCAATGAGGTAGACCTTGATGTAACTGAATGCTTCATAAATAGTTACACAACCAAGAAAAAAGCTAAAGGTTTTGCTGAATATAAGTTATGATACCCTAATTATTGAGGTAATCTCTGTACCTGACCAGCAAGTGCTAAAGCATCAGTAAGCAAAGATATGGCCAACCATATTTGTACACAAATTTGATAACCGGCCATGGGTACAGTGCCCTCTCTAGCCGCCATGGATGTGGCTAGAGTCAGGGTTACGAGGACGGCTAATGTCCGGCCCATTAAGAGGCCACCTGAGACATACAACGGAAATCATAACTAAATGGGAAATTTAAGTAGGAGAAAAAATCATCAGAAGGGTTTTCGCAGAATTAGGAGGCATGAATTATTTGTATCTCTAGAAACTAAGAAATTATGGAATTACAGATTCCTCTCACACTCATTCGGGAACAAGTAAGGGAAGAGGAACGAGTGACTGAAACAAATTGATTAACAAAACTTCTTAATCAATCTGTCTGTCAGTGGAAGTAATACCAGATTTGAGATAGCGTGCAACTCTACCACCATCAATGCTGGAAAGAGTAAAAGATATTTCTCCGTTTAATCTCCACAGAAGAACGAATGCGATTAGATACCTGATAAAAAGAGCATTAGACCATCAGGAAAGAACAAGAACATCATTTCCTAATCTAATCTTAGGAACTCATCTCAAGCGCTTAAGCTAAATAAATAAGTTTACCACATTGTTGACGTACTCAGATATCACTGTCGCTATTGCAGCACCTCCAATGCCAAAACCACAAAAAAATATCAACAATGGATCCAGTACTGCATTAAGTAAATTGCCAGCAGCTGACACAACAAAACCAACTTTCATATCAATTAAAAGATCTTAATTAATTTTGAACAGTTTCCATATTCACATCACAGGAAGATAGTCGAGAACAATTATTGATATTACCAGTAGCATACAATGGCGTTTTTGTATCCTTAAATCCACGAAAGGTGCCTTGGGCAGCAAGTGCAATTACAATAGGGGGAGCACCAAATGCCCTCAGAGACAAAAATTGCTCCGCAGGTGCACGCATTGATGAACCCTACAAGATTTCAAGATAGATATGTTGTATGATAGAAATATGGCATGTAAAACCATAATCAAACAATGCAGAAGACGTAAACCAAAGACATTTCAAGACATGAATGAAACAACGAGGAGGATTAGAAGCCAAGAATTATAAAATAAATTGGTAAAGCTTGACATACAACAGGTATACCCATGATATCCATAAGAGACCCTGAACCAAGAGACAGCATAACAGCTTCAGCAATTCCAAGACCAGCAGCAAGTGCCAAAGAAGTGGATACAGAGGAAAGGAGCTTTTTCCCTTGATTCTCTTCTATGCCATCTATATGGTAAAACCAAAAAAAGTTCACGACTTCATAGAAGACAATGTGGAGTTCTTAGTTGAAAAGATTACTGAAATTGCAAACTAGAATTACCAATATTTATTTGAGCAGTGTTTTTCTCGTTTGTATGAATCAAGGCCTGCTCTTCAGCAACAAACGAAGTAGTGATATTGAGTAAAGGAACATTGAATAACTTCGACACCAAATTGAATACTGAAGCTGATACCCCAACTGCAGCCAGTTCAGTAGATCCTACAAAGAGAATGTATACGGCATGGTGCTGCAGTCATCAATATAACCTCAAATAAGATGAAATATTATTTTTAAAATTAGTGTCAAGAACGAACCGTCCAAGCCCATCGTTTGCAGATATTGTCCGCTTCGACCCGTTATGTATCACCGTTAGCCTTACGGTTTTAAAACGTGTCTACTAGGGAGAAATTTTCACCCCTTAGAATGAATGTTTCTTTTTCCTGTCCACCAGACGTGGAATCTCACAATCCACCCCCTTGAAGGCCCAGCGTCCTTACTGGCACACTGCTCGGTGTTTGGCTTTCCCTAGCAGACATCGAGCGGTGTGCCAAAGAAGACACTGGGCCCTCAAGCGGGTGGATTGTGAGATCCCACAAGAGACAAACGAAACATTTCTTATAAGGGTGTAAAAACATCTCCCTAACCGACACATTTTAAACCCTAAGATTGACGGTGATATGTAACGGATCAAAGCGGACAATATCTACTAGCGGTGGGCTTGGACTATTACACCTGCCATCACAGTCAGTACTCATCTAAAGTTCAATTACGAACTTTTGCCTCCAATACTCCAGAATCCAGATAAGCAGGTAATAAAGAAACGATTCCTTTTGCACAATTCAGATAAATATTATCGTAACTTAATACATGAAGAAGTTTTGTACCTATGTGACCAACAAAAGCCGTGTCAATCAATGATGCAATTGGATCAGCAGCCAAAGCCAGTGCAGCAGGCAATGCAATCGCCAATATGTCCAGCGCAAGTTGATCAAACTTAAAATCCGCATCTCTATGGAAATTCAAGAAATCAAATTCCTAGGTAAGATTCTAGAATTGAAGATATATACCGTTGCTGTATTCAAAGATCTTTTTCTTTGCCTTTCATTTTTGGATATGATCTAATCAAAGAAAATAACGCTAAAAAAAACTGGTCTAAATTTCAAAGACGGACCAACTCAGCCAGCCGCTCTGTCCTTCAAGGATCAAAACTTACCTAAAACGATTTAGAAGTGGAACTGAGACAGACGCAGACAACAAAGAGTTGGACGACTTCTTGCCCGGTCCGTTTCGACGGAGCTGCTCGGACGAGGCTGTTGACTTCGGTTCTTCCGGCGGACTCTTCAAGGAAGAAGTAGTAAGATTCTTCTGGAACGACGCTTTCCGAAAATAACGAAAACGGACTTGACAATTGGCGTTTCTGCGCAGCAGTTGACACTTGGAAGATAAATTAGTGCCGGTATTGAAGCATGGAACATAGATAGAGAGACCGGTCGCCATCTCCGGTCACTGAGAAATGGAACAGTGGAAAGGCCGGCCGGTGGAGATTGAGAAACGGGAAGATGAAACCATATACATTTGTCCCAATTTGCAAGGACTAATTTAGACGGACAGAATTGCAGCACGCCATAGAAATATCTTGACGTGTCTTTTTCTTATTTTTTCTTGGCTGTTCATTTTATATAACAAAATTGTATTTTTCTAATAAAAATTATATAATTTTTACTAATTTAATCGACATTTTAGATTAAAATATACTTTAAATTTTATTTCATCTTTTCATCTATCAAAATTTGTAACAAAATATAATTTTTATAAAAAAAAAATAATATAATTTCACCATTTATAAAATAAATTTGCTAAATTAATCCAAATATCTCTAATATTCTTAAATTTCAAAAAAAAAAAATCAAAATTGCCCTTTCCCGAGTTAATATTTTGTTTACAAAATACTCTCTTTCAAAACTACCCTCGAATTTTTTTTTTTAAAAAAAAAAAATTAATAACCTCACACTTTTGTAAGAGTAAAAAAAATATCATTAAAAAGTCCTACATCGACTAATTTAAGGAATGATCATGAATTTATAATCAATGAATACTATCTCTATTGGGACGAGGCCTCCTAGGTAAGTCCAAAAGAAAGTCTTATACTCAGAGTAGATAATATCACATCACTATGAGAGTTGTATTCATTTAATATTAATAATACATCATTTTTGTCTAAGCAAAAAAATATATATATATCTTTTAAAATTTCATTGATATTTGGACATTAATAAATTTTTTTATAAAATTTTAAAGTATTTTTGAAATATTATTACACCTAAATCAATTTTGTATTGAATAAATTATTATATTTAACATCTTAAAATTTTTAAAAATTATTAAATATAAATGAACTAAAACACAAACGTCTTATATGTTCGTAATTCTTAAAAGATGTATTTTTTAGATTAACTCTTCACTTGAATCATTGAATTTCATAAATCTTGCACCCGTCAATATCATGTTACAACATTCAAATGTTGAGTAAAAAGTCCTTGACAAGTAATTTAGATTAGAATTACGATTAACACCATTAACAAAATATTAACGTGACATGTTATTAGATACATTTGAACGAAGATAACAAGGTTATAGATTAGAATTACGATTAACACCATTAACATGTCTATGATTTGGATCACGATTTATAATCTGAATTGGTACTTGATGGCCCCGACATACCCTTGTTGCATGGTCATGCTGCTCTATTCCTAGTTTTTAAGAGTGAACACTATCTCCACATCTCAATACAAATTCTTCCCGCACACGTACATGATCCATCGAGAATTCTCAAAAAGCCTCACAACATCCAATTGCTCTAACGAAAACAAGCTTAATTTAGAGTTTTTATAATTAAGCTACAAAAAAAAAAAAAAAAAAAAAAA